TCAGTGCCTTACAGTGCTGTGAGGGCTCACATCGTGTCCACAATTGATGTCAATAATAGTGGTTATGATTATAACGAAGAGTTTGTTCAATACTTTTTACGCGAAAAGTATAACCATAATGAATTGATGAAACAATTAATTTAATTGTTTTATGCAATAATTAACTAAATTTAGTAAATTTAATTTAACTCAAAAATTATTATCAATATTGTAAAATTTTATTTAAATATAAATATTAATTTAACAAGTATTAATTAAAAACAACAAACTATAGCTTTGATTTAAATTTATATTAAATTATAGTCATTAGGTTTAAAACTTACAATTCTATAAAGATTACAAATCAAAATTATATTTAAAATTATGTTAATAAATATTAAAATTTAATAAGAAAATATTTCAAGTTTTATTTTACCATTACACATTTATTATTATACTGTATATGTATTAACTTTATTTGGATTTTTATTATATTATAAATTACAGTGTTGTTATCAATGATAACTTATCATCATAACTATGTGATAATTGTTTGATTGTTTACACGCCAACCAAATATAAAATAAATACTTGCAAACAGAATAAAATAATATAATATATTGATAAGTACAAATATAATATATTATCATGTTGTTGAGTAAATTTACTGAAATAAATTAAGTTTTTTTTAATATTAGTTTAATTATACAAAATAATAATAATAATAATAATAATAATAATTAGCAAAAGTTAAATAATTGAATTAACATGTCACAAGAAACAAATACGATTAAACCGTTACATAATTACCATGATTTAAGTGACCTATTTGTGCAAAATGAGCGAATGGTCCGGGATTTTGACCAAAATAGTGTTGAAACCATAGGAAAGGGTAGTTTTGGTCATGTGGTCAAAGCTAGACATGTGGTCGACGAGAAGGTCTATGCCATTAAGATAATTGAAATTACAGGTATTTAAACTACTTTACTCATTATAATCTTAAAATATAATTTTTAAGTATAAGTAATTTAGCATTTTATTTAGATTAAATTATAAAATAAAAATTATAATTGTTATTTCAAGATCGACGTCCGGTTATAACCCAATTAAAACTATTTAATAATAAATTTAATTAATAAAAATACATTTTAAATATTAATATACAGTCTATACCATATATTGTATACACTATATTATATTTAAATAGTGACCATAATTTAATATTTTATGACAACTAAACTCTAGGTAACGAAAGCGAATTATGGGAGGCATACATGAAACGGATCCGTGAGGTGAAAGTGTGGGCCCGACTCGACGCCGACCACTTTGTACAGTACAGATCCTCGTGGCTCGAGTGCGCCGGCAGTCACGACTCTACCTCCCGGTGCCCAATGAGCTACACGTTATACATACAGATGGACTTGTGTTGGTTCACACTGAAGGAGGCCATTAGGAAAATGCGGACACATTTTGTGCGCCAACCCAAACAATGTTGGCCAGAGTTGGGCGCATATATGGCCGGCGAGTTGTTGGTGGAAATACTTGAGGCTATTTGCGTTTTGCACGCACTTAACCCGCCGATAGTGCACCGGGACATTAAGCCCCGTAATGTGCTGATCAAGGGCGGTCCCGGAGCCCGGTTTGTCAAACTGACCGACTTCGGTGAGGCCGTTGAACATAAGAGTGAGTCAGAAAGTCATACCATGCGTGTCGGCACCGATAAGTATATGGCACCTGAAGTGAGAAATGGTCGCAAATATGGTACCAAAGCTGATATGTATAGCATTGGTGTTACCGTTCAAAAGCTTTTTAATTACGATATATATAAGTATGAATACAAAATACAATGTGGTTATTTATTTTAATTATAATTTTAATCTCTCTCTCTCTCTCTCTCTCTCTCTTTCCCTTTCTTTCTCTCTTTCTCTAACAGATTGTCAAATAATAAAGAGATTACTATAACATACAAGGATGTTTTAGGCGTTACTAATATCCTATTAAAGGGGGTCCAAAAGGAGAGACCGGACTGTACCGAGTGTTTGTCAAAGAGGTCCGAGTGGTCAGTGCCTTACCGTGCTGTGAGGGATGACATCGTGTCCACCATTGATGTCAATAATAGTGGTTATGATTATAACGAAGAGTTTGTGGAATATTTTTTGTGTGAAAAATTTAAATATAACGAAACGCTTAAACAAAATTCTTGATAATTAAATTTAAAACGAGTTGAATTTAATTTAGATTACTTTTGTATTGTGAATATAATAAATATAATATTTAATTGTGTTTATAACAAATCAATAAACGTGATGCGTGTAATCATTAATTTACAAAGCACTATTTTTAGCAAAATTTGATGTGCCTGGAAAAAATTATTTTTAATAGATATTTTATTTACAATGATAGATTAACTAAATCTTCATAATTACATTAACATTATTTCAGGCATTTAATCACTAAAAAACTTAATTTGTTGAATTTAATAATATTTAATTATTTATCAAAAAAGATAATAAAATATGATTTATGTACATATTTAAATATATAATAACTAAATTACCAGTAATAAATAAATAACAGAATGTTATTGTTATACTTTGTAAGATCTGGTTTACAAGTGTACAAGATCTATTTTATTATTCTGTATTTTGATAATGTTTAGTGACTTTTAAAAACATAGACAATAGAAATGCGATGATCTGTTGGACGTGAAAATAATCTAGATAAGTTTTAAAATGATATATCAAAACAGCACACTTACCTCATAAACGCGCAATTTGTTAATAACAAATAATTTCCAACATGAAAAACACATATCATTTTTACCAAGATTTTCGATCAGGGAATTTAACTATAAATATAAATTAAGAAAATAATTAACATAACTTATCATACATATTATTTAAATCATATATACATCATGTTAATAAATAAATAAAATAAATAATATCTTTGTCTTATCGTGTAATTTTATAAATAAAAATTTATAACATAAAGTCACACGTAATTTTTAACAATATACAAATATAAATGTACATGTATCAGGTAATTTATTTGTACATGTATGCTTTGCATAAATTACCTTGATCATATGCCTGACATTATTAACAACATTGTGTGCGGCCAACGAATTCAATAACTTATACGTCTCTTTCGACTCAGTGTTGACCGAAGCGGCCGTTAATAAGACAAACAATACGATCGCCGACATAATGACCAGACAATAAACGTTAATCATTTTGACCACAATATTCATCGGGACAAACATTACGGCAAATAAATACATTACAATCGCTGACGAGTAGGACAACCAAAACACCAGCAAATACTTTGACCAATACGTGCGGTTATAGTCGGCTATTTCGGCGCATAACCGGTTAAACGAGGTAATAATGGTCAGTATATGGCGCTGGGCTTTACGCTTAGCACTCGTGCCGTACGTCCACTGTTTGAGTGCATCACAAAATTCATTTGATTTAAGCCTTAGATACCGGCAAAGTATATACAGGTATACCTATGAGTATAGAGTAGTAATTATTTAAAAAAATTCATGTATGTAAATGTATGATATAATGTGATTAAGTTAACTACATGCAATCGTCTAAACATCACAAACTATGTAAATACCGTTTGAAAGCCCAGAATATTCCACAAATAGTTACACCAAATTGAGAATAATATAGCATTGGGTAAGCCATATATAAATGTTGCCCATAACGGGGTTTGAACGTAGTATATGATTACAAAATGGGGTCCGGCAGCGATCCAGAAAATAAACTTGCTATTCCAGTAGGCGGTCAGACAACTGAGCTTAGTCAATCGAGCTAGTTTGACTATTTGATCCGGCTGGGTTAGACCAATTGATTCCGGTGTTATCTCGCCGGCAATCATACGAAATACGCGCATAAATGTGGGCTCAACCCCACGCATGTAGTTGTATAAATAAATGAGTTGGGTTGCCTGATAAAATTGGGTAAGTATGATCAGGGTAGTGTTAAGAACCACGCTGCTATTTAGCAAATATGGAAAATCACCCAGGGCCAAACGCAATGTCTCATACCCATCGCCGACATA